AAAAAAAAAAAAAAAAAGATGAACATTAAATAAACTGCTCTCAGTGATTCAGTTTGAAAAGCTACTTAAAGCTACTTTCAGATAACACTGGGGAATCAACACCGATCCAGGCACACAGCCTGACATCCTCATCTGTCCAATGCTACTTGTAACAATGCTCCTGAGACAGCAGCCTCCCTCCAGGGCCTTCTCTGTCACAGCACCCATCATATGCACTACAATTTCAGTGCCTGGTGTTTTAATTATACCACTAGAAAAAAATGGAAATTCTGGTACAATATAAACAGGCAATAATTTATGTTTGCCAGAATATCCTTTAAGAAAGTTATCTTCCAAATTACTACACTACCTGGAGCGTTTTAACCTCCCAACCACCAAAACAGGTGCTTACTGTGGTGTTCATGATTCCTGTGCCATGTGTTCGGATTGAGTTAGCAATATGCCGAATATTAATAGTACTCAAATGTTTATTATTGCTTGTTCTTTCAATAAAAATCTGCAATGAAACAAATTTATCCTTAATAACAATATAACCCATAGCAAACATTGATTAGTTATCCAAAGAAAATTAGAATGGGTTTCATTAGCAGTACTAGACTATAAAGCCACTCGTATAGCAAATAACAGCAAAGAAATAGACAAGATCTCTGAACAGTTATTTTTTGTTTCATGTATTTTACAATCTCTACACTTGAAAAATCAATTCCCTGCCCTCTGATCCCAACATCTACCCACTTTGAATTGTTTTTCTAAAATCCACTCACCTGATTGTTGAGATTATAGAGGTATCGAGACACAAATATATGAATATTTCTCATAATTTCCAAAACATCAAGGCCCTACAACACAATCCACATAGAAACACTATTAGTTTAACTCATACCAAGTAGTTAAGCTCATGTCAATACTGTAACTTGCTGATTAGACTAAGTTCCCTAACGTGTTCAGAATCATGAACAACATGCAAGGCACAGCCAAAGAATCGAGGGCCTCATGAGGGGCACAGCGGGATGCTCTCCCATCCTGAGGAAGCCTCTGTGTGGACTGGAAGGGTTAGGTCAGGAATAAAGACCACGACCCACGGTCATCCGCCTGCCATGCTTCTCCATCTTCCCAAGGGTCTTTTGTGCATTCCTCTAACAAAGTAAAGCAGTGCCAGACCCTAGAAGGCAGCCACAGGACAGCGCTGACATTTATAACACACACACACTACTTTTCAGGTACTCTGCAAGACTCTTTATATAAATTTCCAAATGATGATGTCCCTTAAATTCCTCAAGAAAATGAAGATGAAGGAGTTCTCTGAGTTCAAGCAACAGGGACAGGCAGACCCCTGGGATTTTACAAACTACACTCCTTTGGATTACACCAGACCACTTTTAATGCAGTAATAATTCTAACACCTGTGGCATTTACAGGCATCATTCTCCAGCTTTTCTACAGGCTCCACAGCACTACAATACCTGCAGGTTTCTATTACAGGTTTTCTCACTTGCAGTCTAAGTCTGTTTACACGCTTCTCTCTCCCTCTGGACTTGAAGTAACACTAGGTGAAATGATTTCTCTAACACAGGTCAGTGTCCAGCATATTCTCAAGAAGTATTAGGTGTGTATGCAAATGAATGGAAAGACATGCCAACAGACCTTGGAAATGATCTTACATGCAGCAGGCCAAAGAAAGACTTATGACCCTTAATTAAATTTTGGCAATTTTTTTTTGGTACTGGGAATAAAACTTGGGATCTTACACTTGTGAGGCAGGCACAGTGCCACTGAGCTAAATCCCTGGCCCTGACCCTTAAATTTTGGAACTGAATAATTGTTTTGATAAATACTGTCTGGATTATATTAGAAATCCATGCAAGTAAATAACATAAACTGTTACATTCAGCTCCATAATGAGGTACTCCATATTGTAAATTAAATTATAAATAACCCAGTGACACCCAAAGCTGTTTGCATTTTTTTTTTTTTTTTTTTTTTTTTAATTTTTGAGCAAGGTCTCCCTACATACTTCAGCCTGGCCTGGAACTCATGGCGATACTCCTGCCTCAGCCTCCTGAGTGCTAAGATTACAGGTGTGCACCACCACAGCCAGCTCTGCACTCTTCAAAAGCAAATGCATTTGCAAGTACAGAAAGCTTCCCACTTGTCCCAAGACAATGAAGTTTATACATATGCTTAAAAGTTTGAAGTGCCGGGAGTGACCGACTGAAGCTCCCCACGACCCTAGCCCATCTCTGAGGTAAATATCAATCTACATCTATTTCAGTGCTCCACAGAAGTCTCAGCTCACACCGGAAGGCTGTGGCAAATCTCTTCATAAAGCCGACTAGTAACTCCAAATTTTTTACTCCTTCAAACAGACTTCATACAGTAAATGCCTTCTTTAAACAAACAGAAACCTAAAGTAAAAAGAAGTAAGGCTTCTGCTCGGGTCAGAGAGTGCAAGGCGCTCCCCACCTGCTCCAACGTCTGGCTGGGAAGGTGCGCCTCCGTCATGACCAAGCCGTAACGCTGCATGGCTAAGTTTCTCATCTCACCGTAAGTGGCCCAATCATGAAGAGCCACTGTGGTGAGATTGTAGAATGTCTTGTCCAAGTAGTGAGTGACATACGCTACAAAAAGAAAAGTATAATTCACTGAAACAGTGAGCAAGATATGAAACTAAAAGCCACCACTGCCTCTGAACATTTAAGTTTTCCCTTTAAAATACGGGGCTAAAAATTAAAATTGAAGACACAAAAAGGAATGAAAGGAAATAAGTGAACGACCACACCCAGAAAGACAACCTCAAGGTTTTGTCTCACCGACTGTGACAGGCAGAGCACGCACCTCGAATGTCGATGAAACGATTGAAAAACCGAATTGGATGCAGAGAGAAGAACAGGGCCAGGTCCTTCATGCCCACTTTGAAAGGGTTGCGGTCGTCGAGCTTCAAGTGAGTGTGCACGGAGAGCCGCAGGTCCTTCTCTATCTCTTTGCACAGCTTGTCCAGCAGACGCTATTCGTTAAGAAGTGACAGCTGAGTTCTTCAGTGACGCCGCAACTGCTGTCTCCCCACGTCCACACTTTGCCCCAGAGCTCTACACAGTGCGCTGATGAAAACACTGCCTAACAGGTTTTGGGGTTTAGGATTCTAAATATTCTGTGGTAAAAATCTTACTGAGAAAATAGTTACTTTGTTCTCCATTTTAAATCAATGATTCTTTTGATGGGGGCAGTTACATAAATGCCAGGCTTTTACTTTAATATTTTAAACTTAATTCTCTGAAAAAGAAAATCAAAAAGTAATGACTGATGGCTTCACCATACAGGACGCAAACATGAAATATAAAATGTGTGGATCCTGCCACCAAGCAGGAAGCTCTGGAGAACACGCACAAGGGAGGAGAAATGCTTCCCTGGATTGATGATCACTAAAACCACGCAGCGCCTGTGACAAAGGTGATGCGATTAACCACCTTCTCTGGTTATCACAGGGTTTGAAATTTGTGTATTTATGTGTTACACAAGTGAACCATCTGACTATACACAATTCTCCTCCTAGGAGCTCTCCATGTGAATTATTAACAGTTTACAGATAAGTTAGTATTAACAGTTAGTTGCCTTATCTGTACCATAAGCCGCACTCCATTTTCAAACCCATGTTGACTGTGTCATCTTCTAATTAACAGAAATTTAAATCCAGACAGGGATTTAGCTCAGTGGTTCCAGCACCTGCCTTGCAAGTGCAAGGACCCAAGTTTGATCCCTGGTACCAAAAAAAAAAAGAAATTTAACTTCAAGTATACTTTACTAAACTGAATTAAAATTTTCCAAATTCTTAGTCTGATTTCTAAAACAAAGGAATTACAGACCACCCTTTGTTGACATCATTTTTGGCTCAGTGAAAGCCTGCCTCAATCCAAAATTTTTCTAAACACTGCATTCTAAAACTGTTTTAGGCTTCTCAATGTCAAATACAATCTCACCTCATTTAAAATTTCCATAATTTCTTTGTCGTAGCAATCCAGAAGGACCTCGTAGGACTCCAAATGCCTCGAATGCATCATGGCAGGCACACAGTCTCGCAGCGCACTGAACATGTACTGGGGAGGGAAGTACAACGGGTGTGAATCTACACACCACATCCTCATCTCAGCAACAGTTCAAAGGCCAATTATCTATTATCTAATTATCTACCTAGAGACAAAAGCCTCACTCTGAAGGAAAATGGTTTTTCCACAAATGTCTTACTTTCCCAATAAGAGAAGAATCTAAGCACATAGTTTATAGATACAGAAAAATTAATATAGAAATGAACAGTGAATAGAAATGTAACACAGTCTGATGGAAAAACCAGATGACTGTGACACAAACTATACTCAAAGGAATGGGAGTGGTTAGAAATATGCGGGGAGCAGCTGGATTTATTACAGTTCGCTTCACTAGTAGTAACATGAGCCCTGACTATAGGCTTCCTAAACGCATACTATTTACTGGACTGTAAGGAACAGCAGCAGCAGTTGATGTTAAAATAGTTGATGGAATCAGAAGATTTATTTCACACCGAAGGAAAGGAACCAAGACGACGGCTTCTGTCCTCACTACCCCTTTTACTTACATGTAACCTAGCGGCGTCAACAGCGTTTTCGTACACATCATCTAAGTAGATTGGGAAGACAGCTCGATGCCAGTACAAGAAGCAGCAGTCACACTGCGCCTGGACGCTGCAATGCAAGCAGCAGTCATGGGCCGGGGATGGAGCTCAGTGGTTCTGCCGCCCGCCTCAGGAGCAGCAGTCCGCTGTACCACACCCGCAGCACCCAACTGTGCAAGGGCGAGAGCTCGGTCCAGCTCATCCTGCAGACCCCCGTCACTCAGCCCACGTTTGTTCAGAAAGACACAAAGTCAGGGTTTCTCAAACCAAGAACAGATGAGACACTGCACACCTGCACTGTCAGAAGTGCACACATGCTTTAGCTTTAAAGACCTGGAAATCACAGCAGGTAACCCTTATGCACAGGACTGGAGACCCAGCAGCGCAGGGCCTGCCTTGCACAGGAGGCCCTGGTCCAATCCCCAGTATGTATAAAGAAATAAAATAAGCAATTTCAAAAATGTATTTTCAGTCTTACTTGATATGACTACGCTTAACAACACTTTTATCACATGCACCATTTTACCTGTCTCCAAGCTGGAAAGGAAAAACTTAAAAAATGGTGGCCAGAAACACCCAATTCCATGTAACCTATCTACAATCTTGGCCCCCAAATGACTACTTCACACCATACGGGGCAGGAAACTGACGATCAAATCCCTTTTTCTTTTGCAGTACACGGGCTGACCCCAACACATTCACAATGAGTTACATCCTCAGCCCTTTAATTTAATGCTTCCTTTTGAGGCAGGCTCCCATTGAGTTCCTGAGTTGCCCAGGCTAGGCCTGCACTTTTGATGCCCTATCTCAGCCTCGGAACTGCTGGCCTTATAGGTATGTGCCACCACACCCAGCTTCAAACATCTTGTGGTGAAGAAGGTTCAGTATTTCTTCCAGAACAGAAAAATTAAATGCCACTAACACTAAAAATGGCAGCTTCCTAGAATAAAAACAAAACAAAACACAAAAAAACCCATGAGCATCAAATGGAAACTCTAATTATATGCTTTAACTATCATTTAGCTGGGAAATCAAAATTCAGAAGACCCATTTTCCCTTCAAGAAACCTACTGTTTGATCAGTAAAAAGAAAACAAGTCATGAATAGCTGCAAAGACCAGCTTTAAACTAATTCAACTTAGTGACTAAATACCGACAGTGTAATTCAAAGACAGTGTAGCCACAAAATACAATTACAAAGCGCTAGGTCACAGCTCTAAGTCTCTCACAAGTAGGTGAAGCCTCATCCGCCCATATGTGCCCTGAAAGGCTGTGAGCTGCGCCATTCCTCACTGTGCCCCCGGGGCAGCAGCTTCTGCAGAGACAAGGCTCAGGGGGTACAAGCCCAGTCCAGTCCCACATGGTCACTCAAAGGAGGTTCAGAGAGGAACTGACTGCTATGCTGTCTGGGTTTGTTCCCACTGCTGTGCTAACAAGACAACCAACCTCGGTGAAGCGCTGTTTAGTGCCCTACTTACCGCTCTCTGAGCTCACTGATGATGTCCAGCTTCTTCATGACTACTTGGAGTGGGAAGAGCTCCTCATCTTTAAATGTTTTCTGAGAGAAGGGAAGAGAGTGCAGAGGTTGGAATCAAAAGAAGGACAGGCACTGAGGGTCAGGACGGAGAAGCCCACGCCCTGAGACTCACCATCTGGGTGCCGACACTGAGTGACAGAGAGATGATGAGACGTCGCTGCTTTGTGCTTGGTCCGTTAAGAGTGTTTTCGACCAGAACTAGAGCAGAGAGCACATCAAGACGCTGTTCACTATACTTTTTGTCAGAAATTACTCTTTTCTTAAAAATAAAAGAGGAAACTATTAGTTTTGTTTCTCAGATAACCAAACTAAGAAGATACACTTCTCTATTATGTTTTGCATGATTCAATTTAAGAGACCACAGGAAAATACCTCCCCTGTTATACTTCTTACAGTGACAATAATCATTGTTTCCTAGCACTGTCAGGAACAGCAAGTGTACAGCATGCCTGGAAACTTCCAAATTAATGTAATAGGAAATCACTTCGAAAACGAAGCATCAATTTCTAAAGTACATACTGTGTCATTTTTAAGAAGTGTACTAATATACTATATGCTGCAATATCAGAGGAAATGAAAGCTCTGACTGATAACTCTTATGGAGATAAATGACCAGGAATATTATGTTTCAAGGAATAAAACAGACTAAACTAGAAAAAAACATATAGAACAACAGAACAAACAAAATGACAACATAACTGTGCTGAAAATACAATTACATGCATACCTTGGCTACAGAAATAGAATTAAGAGCCTGATGTTGAAGGTGCTGTGTTATATGTGAAACAGAGTCCGCCACAACCATGCTTCTCCGGTAAAACATATGCTCTATTGCCTGAAATAATCAGAAGTGATTTTTGTGAAAGTCAACTTACAATTTTTAACCAAAATTATAGAAATGAATCTTACGACCTCAAACAAGAGAAAGTATTTGTAAATGAGAGGCAATAAACACCATAAACGGTAAGAACTAGAAAACTTAACCATATTAAAATTGAGAATTTGTCAAGAGCCATTATTAATAAGAGGTAAGCAAATTTATAGAAAGGTATTTGCTAGGGCCGGGGATTTAGCTCAGCGGTTCGGTGGCCTGCCTTGCAAGCGCAAGGACCCTAGTTCAATCCCCGGTACCAAAAAAAAACCAAAAAAACAAAAAAGAAAGATATTTGCCAAATACAAGGGACTGGTGTCTAGGACAAAGAATAAATTTTTAAGAGATATAGTATAGTTCCACAGAAAACTGAGTAAAAGACAGGGAAAAATTTTCCTCAAAAAAATAAACAGGTTAATAAATAATGGACAAAATATTCACCATCATTAACAATTAGGGGTTGAACATTAAAAATCCTGATCCAAACTAATAACGCCCACTGATCTACAAAACAAAACCAAAACACAAACATCATGATAACACAGGATGAACGTGCCTAACCCACAAGTCAAGACATCTGAGCTGATCCAAACCCTCACGTCCCTGAAGGTCAACCTGATCACACAAGTGGAAGACACACACCTTTGTGGGAGAGAAGGGCCAATCAAAAATGTGCAGGCACACAGAAAATACTCTAAGACCCATGTGTGAGCTGTGTACGAACCAAATGAATTCCATGTCTTGACTTGAGTCCTATCCCCAACATACCTCACTATAAACACTTCACAACCCCAAAACAAATGGGGACCTTGAACACTTCTGGTTTCAAGGAAGTGGTGCTCACCCTACAGTGGTGCAGGCCAGCTGGAAAGAGCAAGCAGGAAGTCTTGACTTACTGGGGCAGGCACACGAGCAGATACTACTGTCCAAAAAAACAACATGGCATCATCTTAAAAAGGTGAATATATGCACAGCCTAACACACAGCAGCCTCAATGCTGAGAAAAACTCCCACACCAGAACACCACGAAACACATGAGAACAGCAGCTCTGTTTGCAGCAGCAAAGACTGGACACAACCCCAGAGTCCAGGCCAGGCACATGCCCAGAGACGAAAAAGAAGGCACCACAGCTGCTCAGCACAGAAACATTCCAATACAGATGCTGAGTTAAAAGTCAAAACACATGAAAGATCACTCTGTTACTATCAACCCCACACCATACACAGCAATGAATGGTGTATGGGTTCATCCATACAGGCCGAGCTGAAAAGAACATCACAGCGGCAAACAAGCAAGAAATTCAGCATCTGGACATCCTATGAGCAGGTGGGCCAAGCTGCATCGGGAGACACACAGGGCTCCATCAAGTCCTAGAACATCCCACTGCTCAAGCGATCAGCACAGAAGTGCCAACTGTTTTTAAACACTAAGATTATACTGGTTGTGTATCTATACAAACATGCATACATATGCACACTTCTTTTTTTTATTCCATTAGAAGTGCTAATAGCAGATAATATATCTAAAAGAAAAAAAGCTAAGAAATCTGAAGTTACAATCTACCAAAAGAACTTTACTTCCTGAACAATGAAGCCCACGATTAGCAGAAACTTAGCAGGAACCCTAACCAGTTTTCTGTGATAGCCCCGTGGTTTTCTCACAGAAACCCTGCGCCATGTTGATGGAAGCGCACTATGGTTTGGAACTCACCTGACCTCCTCCACAAGTCAGCAGCCTCCTGTCCAAATCATACGACAACACAAAGCACGGGGTCTAAGGTACCGGACGACAGCTCACCTTAAGTAACCTCATATGATGTGGACACCAGAGAACAATGGATTAACATCGCTTGAGTTTTTTTTGGTTTTGTTTTAAACTCTTGCAACAAGCTTTTAAACCTCCGAGTAAAATTTTACTAAAATACCAAAGCTAACTTTTCCACTGACCTTTTACTTCTCATAACATTACCTTTTTTTTTTTTTTTTTTTTTTTTTTTTTT